CTTCATTTGGAAAAACAGAAAACCCAGGATAACTAAAAGAATCCTGTACAACAAAGCCTCTGGAGGCATCACCATCCCTGGCATCAAGCTCTACTATAGAGCTATAGTAATAAAAACAGCTTGGTATTGGCATAAAAAGCAACATGAGGACCAATGGAATCAAATTGAAGACCCTGACATTAACCCACACACCTATGAACACCTGATTTTTGACAAAGAAGCCAGAATTGTACAATGGAAAAAAGAAAGCATCTTCAACAAATGGTGCTGGCATAACTGTATGTCAATATGTAGAAGATTGCAAATAGATCCATATCTATCACCATGCACAAAACTCAAGTCCAAGTGGATCAAAGAGTCAATATAAAACCAGTTACACTGAATCTGATAGAGAAAGTAGAAAGTAGTCTTGAATGCATTGGCACAAGAAACCACTTCCTAAATATAACACCAGTAGCACAGACACTGAGAGCAAAAATTAATAAATGGGACCTTCTGAAACTGAGAAGCTTCTGTAAGGCAAAGGACACAGTAAATAAGACAAAATGACAGCCTCCAGAGTAGGAAAAGATCTTCACCAACCCCACATCTGACAAAGGACTGATCTCCAAAATATATTAAAAACTCAAGAAACTAGACATCAAAATACTGAACGATCCAATTTAAAAATGGGCTAAAGAGCTAAACAGAGAATTCTCAAAGGAAGACTTTCAAATGGCCAAAAGACATTTAAGGAATTGCTCAGCATCCTTAGTCATCAGAGAAATGTAAATCAAAATGTCTCTGAGATACTATCTTACACCTGTCAGAATGGCTAAGATCAAAAGCACTGCAGACAACTTATGTTGGAGAGGATGTAGAGCAAGGAGAACACTCCTCCACTGTTGGTGGGAGTGCAAACTTGTACAGCCACTTTGGAAATCAGTGTGGCGGTTTCTCAGAAAATTGGGAATCAATCTTCCTTAAGACCCAGTCATACCACTCTTGGGCATATACCCAAGGAATGCTCAATCATACCACAGAGACACATGCTCAACTATGTTCATAGCAGCACTATTCATAACAGCCAGAACCTAGAAACAACCTAGATGCCCCTCAACTGAAGAATGGATTAAGAAAATGTGGTACATACACACAATGAAGTACTACTCAGCAGTGAAAACAATGACATCATGAAATTTGCAGGCAAATGGATGGAACTAGAAAATATTTTGAGTGAGGTAACCCAGACTCAGAAGGACAAACATGGTATGTACCCACTCCTAAGTGGATACTAGAAGTAAAGCAAAGGATAACCAGACAACAACCCAAAACTCCAAAGAAGCTAGCTGACAAGGAAGATCCAAAGAGGGACACATGGATCACCCTGGGAAGGGGAAATAGATGAGGGGTGGGCATGAGTAAACTGGGGATGAGGGGTGGGCATTGGAGGGTAGGGGTTGGAGGATAAGAACATAAGGGAATGGGATGGTATATTATGTCATTTTAAAAAAAACCTAATTACACTACGAGCACCCTCCCCTGTTGGTTGAGCCTGTTGGTTGAGAGCTGAGCTAAGAGATTTGCATGCAGGTCACCACAAGCCACAAACAGAGAGGCCCACAGAAATCCACAAAGATACCCACACAACAGACAGCTGGCAATGGTCGAGAGACAGCCCGAACTGACCTACTCTGGTGATGGGATGGCCAAACACCCTAATTGTCGTGCTAGAAACCTCATCCAACTACTGAGGGATCTGGATGCAGAGATCCATGACTAGGCCCTGGGTGGATCTCTGCGAGTCCAATTAGCGAGAATGAGGAGGGTTTATATGAGCGAGAATTGTTGAGACCAAGGTTGGATAAAGCACAGGGACAAATAGCCAAATGAATGGAAACACATGAACTATGAACCAATGGCTGAGGGGTCCACACTGGATCAGGCCCTCCGAATGGGTGAGACAGTTGATTGGCTTGATCTGTTTGGGAGGCATCCAGGCAGTGGGACCAGATCTTGTGCTTATTGCATGAGTTGGCTGTTTGAAACCTGGGGCCTATGCAGGGTCGCTTGGCTCGGCCTGGGAGGAGGGGACTAGACCTACCTGGACTGAGTCTACCAGGTTGACCTCAGTCTGTGGGGAAGGCTTTGCCCTGGAGGAGATGGGAATGGGGGGTGGGTTGGGGGGAAGGTGAGGGGGACGGGAGGGGGGAGAACAAGGGAATCCGTGGCTGATATGTAGAACTGAATTGTATTGCAAAATAAATATAAATAAATAAATAAATAAATAAATAAATAAATAAATAAATAAATAAATAAATAAATAAATAAAATAAAACTTTAGATTGTTAAAAAAAAGAAAATATATACTGAGCTTCTTATAGATTTCGAATATTAGCTTCTTGTCAGATGTTCTGGGTAGTTTGACGTCAACTTGACAGAAGCGAGAGTCATCAGGGTGGAGGAAGCCTCGATTGAGAAAATGCCTCCATGAGCTAGGGGCACTGGCAAACCTGTCAGGCATTTTCTTAATTAGTGATTGATGGGGATCCAAAATGAGACAGGACAAGAGGGAAAAGGGGGAGAACATACAGAACAAATAAATTGCTTTTAGACTTGTACCCAATAATGTCTGCAGCCACTAGACACAAATTAAAATGTTAGGTTTGTAGATAAAAGCAATTCCCATGCATATATTTGTCAGGTATGCTGTATTGCATGGGATGTCCAAAGAAGGTAGGTCACTCCAGAATGCACTTTAGGTTCTTTAGCAGCAGAGGCAGAGTCTAGCCTCTGATGGACCCAACTTTGAATCACTGTTCAAAAGCATATTTATTGATTGTTACATGAAGGTTGTTTTTTGGGCAAAACTAGTTCCTCATACCAAAGCCCCTTTGATCTAGTCTATATGTTCTTTGAAGAAAATCATCACACCCCTGTGATGTTAGTATCTTCTTAGGTTGTTCTCTACTTAATTAATTAGTTTGATTAATTAATAAGTTAGTTTAAGATGGATTCTTTCATTGAACCTGTAGTTCATCACTTCATCTAGGCTAGTCTCTATCTGCTCCAAATGCTGGGGTTATGCATAGATGCTCCATTCATGTCTAGCTTTTACATGGGTGCTGCAGATCCAAATTTAGGTCCTTGTGCTTGTGAGGCAGGTACATTTCCCTAGCTCCTCTTCAGCTGTTTACTAACTTTTTTAGTATAGAGAATAATGGATTTCATTATGACATTTTTGTACATATCATACTTCACTCCTCTACTACCCTATCTCTCTCTGTTAATGAGGATTAAATTTCTGGTCTCATTTATGCTAGACTATGGTAAGGTATGAGGTTCACTGGGTAGATGCCCAAAAGTGAAATAGCTGGGTCATATGGCAGTTTGGGTTTTTAGAGGTTGTTGTTGTTTTCTTGCTTGTTTTTGAGCAACCTCCAAAATGATTTCTATCATGTATGCATTTATATATGTAAACAAATGTACATACATGTGTGTATAGTATAGCATGTAGAAAGGAGATGAACAAAGGGAAATATTAGCTGATGAGGAAAGGCAGAATGCTGCAAAAGGACACGTGAGCCATGAAAGAGGATGCAAAGATAATTGTTTCTTTAGAAAGAAAGGTCTCTTAGCAGCAGACCTAACACAAAGAAATTGACACATTCAGTCTGCCTAGAATTCCCATCACTTCTCCTGGACATGGACACCTCAGCTTAGCCAGATAAATCTTTATCATTCTCCTTGTCCAGTTCTCACCACAGCCCCAGGCTGGCCCTAAATCCTGATTTAGCTGCTGAGATTACAATCATAGATGCCATGCCTGACTCAAGCTCTGTTGTTGGAACCTGCAGGTAAGTAAAAGGAACTCCACTTCCAAATGTGAGAACCCAGACATCTGAAGACAGGCTCAGATCTGTGTGGTGGTGCCAGTACACAGAGAACAATAGCCTGTGGATTTGTTTGGGGACAGGAAAGAAGTTTTGCAGATATTTGGCATGAAAAGAGCTGAAATTGTTTCTTTAGATTCTTAAGGACAGTGGATGCCAAGAAGCATCTCTAATGATGAATCCTATCCATAGGGTGGTGTTCCAAGGGGCTGTCTGCATCTTAGACATCACATCATTAAGTTTGGATAAATCAACATCATCTAATCTGTCATCATTGCTTGTAGCTAAAGTAGATAAGAAATTGTATGAAATCAAATAGAACTTGGTTTACCTCTTTTATAGTACTTTATTGAATACTCATGCATGAATATAATGACTGGATCAAATCCATGCCCCATTCCCTCCCCTCCAATTCCTCTCCTATGCCCCTACCACTTTTCCTCCCAACTCTACATGCTCTCTCACTCCATCTCTCTCTGTCTCTGTCTCTTCTTTGTCTCTCTCTCTCTCTCTCTCTCTCTCTCTCACACACACACACACACACACACACACACACACACACACACACCACATCACACACCACACATCTCACACACACAACACACATCACACACACACACACAATACATCACACATACACCACACATCACACATACACCACACATCACACATACACCACACATCACACACACCACACATCACACATACACCACACATCACACATACACCACACATCACACATACACCACACATCACACACACCACACATTACACACACCACATATCACACATACACCACACATCACACATACACCACACACACATCACACATCACACATACACCACACATCACATACACACACACACCACACATCACACAACACAACACACATCACACACACACCCCACATGTCACACATCTCACACACTAACACACAACACCACACATCACACACATACTACACATCACACACACACCACACAATACACACACACCACATGTCACACATCACACACACACTCACCACACATCACACACACCACACATCACATATACACTCACACACACACACACACACACACACACACACACCACATGTCACACATCACACACCCACACACCACACATCACACACATACTACACATCACACACACACACTCACACACACAACACATGTCACACATCACACACACACACACCAACACACCCACACACCACACATCACACACATACTACACATCACACACACACACACACACACCACACATCACATACACACTCACATACACTCACACGCACCACACCACGCACATCACACACTCACACGCACACACACACTCACACACCACACACATCACATCACACACATATACTCACATACACACTCACACACACCACACCACACACATCACATCACAGACACACACACACACACACACACACACACACACACACACACACACACACACAGCAGTCTTCATTACTTTCACCAGGTGTGCTTCAGGGGGAGGGAAGTCTCAGGGCTGAGTGGGGACCTCTCAGGGGCTGTTTGGATACCCTTGGATGTGCTCGACTGCAGAAGAAAACATCTCCTTGGCATTCTGTGGACAGGTGGAAGGACTTGGCATTCCAAGGGCAAAAAAACAAAGGGAGGCAAGCTCTCGTGGCAGGATAATGTAGGGAAGTCTATGCTTTATGCAGATCCCTATAAACAGATCTCTCATCAGATGCCACAAAGAATGTGAAGCTGAGGGACAGTGGGAAACATGAAATAGGAAGAAAGGAAATAATCCCATGTGTGTGAATTCAATAAACTCTGTGCACGTGAGAGATTACAAATTACATAAATCCTCACCCACCAACCGATCTGCCTCCTGTGCCATAACACAGGGACAGCTTGACTCCCACAGAGTTCAGATTTCAGTACAAGCTGATTTCCTAGGAGCTATTTAGGCAGGATCTGGATCCAAGGACACAAGCCCTGGACTTGGCACCATGGCACTGGGATGGGCCTTCAGCCTCTTTCTGTCTCTCTGCTTGCTTTGCCTGCTCATCTCGATTGCGTGGAAGAGAACCAGCAAGGGAGGGAAGCTGCCCCCTGGCCCCACACCAATACCAGTTTTGGGGAACCTGTTACAAGTCCGCATTGATAACATATTTCAATCCTTCCTGAAGGTGAGTGTGTCCATTTCTTCTTATAGTGATGAAGGCAACAAACGCCACAGCTGAGTACACACCAAAACTCATGATTCCTAAACACAGACTCAGAAACAAACTTTAGGAAGGTTAGGATTCTGAAACTACAGAATCCTAAAATTAAGGGGGGTATCAGTCCTAGACTCTGAGAACACTAGAACAAAATCCCCTCTTCTTGGGATCATGGATCACAATATAAGGATTTGAGGAATCTAATTTTTTTTAATATCATTTCTTTCTTTTTCTTTTTTTCTTTTTTTTCTTTTTTTGGTTTTTTGAGACAGGGTTTCTCTGTGTAGCTTTGTGCCTTTCCTGGATCTCACTCTGTAGCCCAGGCTGGCCTCAAAATCACAGAGATCCACCTGCCTCTGCCTCCCAAGTGCTGGGATTAAAGGCATGTGCCACCACTGCCTGGCTGAATCTCATTTCTTTAAGCACAACTTTCATCTCAAATTGACTTTTAAGATGCTAAAACCCAGCATTTCAAAGAGAGAAGATGCAGATCGTGGAGTTCAGCTATTCTAAGCCCATTGTTTCACAAACAAAACCAAGATGTACAAAATTAGGGACATTTGCTGTCCAAGGTCACAGGAGTCATTTTGATGTTTTCTCGCCAATAGCCCTTCCAAGCTCAGGATCTTCTACTAGTCTACCTTTTCATCCTCCTAGAATCTCTACCCTCTACATTCCTTGACTGGGGGTCTCGTCACACTCCAATTTACTCCTTTCCTTGGTATCTTCCTTCACTCTCAGCTCCAGAAAAAATATGGCCCTGTGTTCACTGTGTACTTTGGTCCGAGGCCAGTGGTTATTTTGTGTGGACACGAGGCTATGAAGGAGGCCCTGGTCGACCAAGCAGATGACTTCAGTGGCCGTGGTGAAATGCCTACAATAGACAAGAACTTCCAAGGTCATGGTAAGTTGCAGCAATAAGAACAGGAATGATTGCAACAGTGTCAGTGTGTTGAAGGGTCTCTGATAGGTCCATAAACCACCTACATTAACTCCCTTGAGAAGGATATGAATGTTCTGCTAATTTTGAAAGTGCAAAAGCTGATGGTAAGAAAGGTAATGTCACACAGTATGTGTGAGGGCTACTTTGTTTTTCAGTTCCAGAATTTGGACTCTAAAGTGCTTGGAGTGTTATTTTTATTCTTACTTTTAGTGAATTACTGTGTGGTATTATTTGTGTACTCCCCTAAAGCCATCTCAGGCAAGCTTAGTTCCTATCTGTCCATATGCACATACAACACAGGTCACCAGCACCTGCATTTAGGAGTATTCTTGTCTAGTGTTACCTATACACCCACTCCTACTTGCTTGCATTCTGCAAATGCCTCTTTTCATCTGTCTGTCTGTCTGTCTGTCTATCTATCTTTATATCAATAAACATTTTTCTTAGTTCTACCCATTGTTCTATAAATCCATCAAAATATATTCATTATCCTTTGTATGCAAACATCTTTCCACCATATTATTCACATTTCTTCAATGTTCTATGTATCCAAGAATCCATGCATACTCGGATTTGTGCAGTGACCTTTAATTCATTCACACACCTATTAATCTCTCCATCCACCTGCTCTTCTATCAATCCAGCCACTTTTACTTCCAGCCATTATCCATTCATCTTACTCTCTCTATCCACAAATGCTTCACTCAGAGTCTTTCATCCTCATATCTTTCCAGACAGACAGACATCTATCCACCCATTCACCACACCATGAACCATTCATTCCAGTCCAGAGCACTAGCTGCTCATCCAGGGGACTTGAGTTTGGTTCCCAACACTGACATGGGGCTCACAAGCATCTATTGCTCCAGCTTCCGGGGATCTGATCCCCTCCTCTAGACTCCACCATTCCACTCTTCCTTTTGTTTATCAATATATTTTAAAATGATCTTATTAAATTTCTAAACAGTTCACCAATCCATACATCAGGTGATTTCTACTATAGTCTTCATGCAGCTCCTTTGTATAGGTGCATTGATGTACAGTGGTGATCTTCTGTGTACACACATATATATGTTTGAAGAATCCAACTGGCACCCAGAAAATAGAATTAGTATTTCCATTTAGGGAATACTCCATATGGCATTCCATCCTTACCTCCTCCACTTTTCTAGGCATTGAACATGGCTAGGTTAGTTTCGTGTTCACTAGCCTATAGGAAAACTTCCTTGCTGTACTGGATTTTTTCCTTCAGTACAGACTATTTTGGAGGGAATCTTGATTTCCCATTGAGTCTGGAAGGTTGAGCTTTAATAATCGTGTCTACCACAGACTTGAGAGCAGAAAGGGTGGAGGGCAGGCGCCTGACCACAGACATTCCGGCAGGTTTAGCTCTGTCCAATGGGGAACGATGGAAGGTACTTCGGCGTTTTTCCTTGACCGTCCTTCGAAACTTTGGAATGGGAAAGCGGAGCATTGAAGAGCGGATCCAGGAGGAGGCTGGTTATCTACTGGAAGAATTCCATAAAGTCAAGGGTATGGAGACCACATCGGGTGACTGGGTGCTAGGAAAAGCTAAGTCATGGGGAGACTTGGTGGGAGAAAGACCTGAAATAAGAAAGGATTGAAAACAATAAGGATTCATACAGATTTTCAGGAAGGTTCCATATGTTAGAAATCAACATGGAAGATTCTGAGAGACAGTTTGTCTAGAAATGTTCACCAGTAGATCTCAGGGGTCTGTAACTCAAGAAACCATACAGGATTCTAGTGTTGTGTGAGCTTGCATCTTTTCCTAGAGAAAGGATCAAATGTTGCTATGTCATACATACTTTATTGTGATGAAGAAAATAACACAAAAGTTACCATCTTCACCATTTTTAAGTGTAGGTACAGTTTTTTGGACTGGAGAGATGGCTTGCCTGCTAGAGTACTGGGTGATCATCCAGGGGATCTGAGTTTGGTTCCCAGCACTCACAGAAGGCTCACAACAGTCCCTAATTCCAGTTCCAGGGATCGAATGCCCTTGTGTGGCCTCCATAGGTATCAGGAATGCATGTAGTACATAGACATACATGCAGGCAAAACACCTATACACAAATGAAAATTCAATTAAAACAAAATTTCAAAAAGAGTATAGTTTGTCAGTGGTAGGTATATTCACTTCACTGTGAAACAAATGCTTAGAAAATTCTCATTTTGAAGGTCTTTACTCCCAGTTACCCCTGGTGTTTGTGGAGGGGTGGATGGTTCCACTATGCAGCTGGGATGACTTTGAACTTGCTCCAGTTAACACACACACACACACACACACACACACACACACACACACACACACACACCCCACATACACACACATTTTCTTCAGGGAAACTATTCTCTTGGGTATTTTACTACATTAATTTTTTTCAAAAATTACAATACATTTATATCATATTTCACCTCCCAATTCCTCCCACATCACCCCCACCTCCATATCCACCCAACTTCATGTTCTTTCTTTCAAAATAAAATAAAACAACAAAAGTCAAAACAAACAAAACACCCCTAACCAAGAAGCTATTTGCAACTGATAATTGATGGAAAGAGAAAAATCAATTTTCTCCAATGTAGTGTCAATGAATAATATCAACCACACTCCCGAGAAGAACATATACCCAGGAGTAGGTCAACACAAAACACACTCTGAGAGGTTTTTGTTTATGTGTGATTTTTGTTTTATTATAGTTTTTAAAGGTGTCTAGTCCCTAGCATAAAACAAGGTATAGAGCCAATTGAGACTAGAAAGAAAAGACAAAGATTGAGAAATATAGAAACAATAGATAAAGAGATATAGATATATATCTCTTTAAACCAAAAGTCCCTTGTCTGGACTCTAGACAAATAAGGAGTCCACCCATGGCTTTGAACAGTCTTGTACCTCCAGAAGTTATCTGCTATGTTGTACATCATGAATGTGTGCATGGTTCTGGAGAAATTGACCCCCACACCGTTTACTTGACCAGGATCCCATTTTACAAATAGTGCATCTGAGACCTAGCAGAATAATTTCTTTTTTCATATGTATGCATGTTGGATGTATGCATGTGTGTGCACATGTACTTGCATATGAGTGCACACATGTGTGGAGGCCAGAGGTTGACATCACATGTCTTCCTCAATTCCTCTCATCTCTATTATTATTATTATTATTCATGGATTATCGCTGAACCCAGAGCTCTGGCTACCACAAATCTAGCTAGCCAGCTTTTCCCAGAGAATGCCTATCTCCACCTCTCAAGTGCTAAATCAGAGATAAGCTGCTACACTTTTTAAAACTGGCCCACTTTTTATCTGGGTGCTTACGATTCTAACTCCAATCTTCCAGTTTATGTGGCAAATGATTTGTCTGCTGAACCTTCTCCTCCCCAGGTGCAGGAAGAATTCCTTAATAAGGCTTTTTTTGGTAGACCTAGACTGACATCAGGTGTTCTTTTCTAAATCGTTGTTATTTTATGTGTATAGATGTTTTGCTTGCACATATGTCTGTGTACCATGTGCATGCCTCGTGTTCCCGGAAGCCAGGTGAGCCTTAGAACTGAAGTTGCAGATGGTTGTGAGCTGCCTTGTGGGTGCTGGGGATTAAACGTGGGTCCTTTGCAAGAGCAGTCAGTGCTCTTAACCAGCCCCTCTGGTGTTTTGTTTGTTTGGTTTGGTTTGGATTTTTTTTCTTTTTTCAGATGTGTCCTCTATTACTTTCCATCCATCACAAATACATTGAGGTAATGGCGACAAAAGATCATGCTGAACTTCTCTCGCATTTCTTGGGTGCTTATGCCAGGCCAGGTGCCAGGCCAGGCATTTTATAGGCATCATCATATTGAACACTCACAGATCAATTATTAGATTTCCAAACCAGGTTGCAGTTTGGGAATACTAGACTCAGATATGAAAATGAGGTGTTCGTGCATACCACTAAGCAGGGGACCCAGGGCTCTGTGTAAACACTGAGTGGTTTCTTGCCCTACCTACCCATGACTGTCTCCAACATAGTCAGTTTCTACCTCCAGGAGCTCCCATAGACCCCACCTTCTACCTGAGCCGCACTGTGTCCAATGTCATCTGTTCCGTGGTCTTTGGAAAACGCTTCGACTATGAAGACAAATGTTTCCAGAGCCTGATGAAGATGATCAATGAGAGCTTTGTGGAGATGAGCAAGCCCTGGGCACAGGTACTTATTAGTCACTAGTCAACCCCATGCTCACCCTTCATTCTCAAGCAAGCACTTTCCTGTATGCCACCTAATCCTCCTCCCTTCATCCCTAGGAGGCACTTATCAATTTGTCCAAGTATGCAGGAAACAAAGGTTTACACCCAAATCTCAGATCCAACAGTAGACTATTTAGTGAAATAGGGTGTCTCTGGGTAGCTTAGGTTGACCTCAGTGTCCCCCTGGTGATGGGATTAAAAATGTGCTCTGCTCTGCCCTAGCTCCTGCCACAGACTTTGAGCCCAACTCTGACTCTAGAACTTGGCCCATCTGGTCCCTGATGCCTGTGACTGACACACACCTCTTTGCCTCTACCCCACAGTTATATGACATGTTCTGGAGAATCATGCAGTATTTTCCAGGAAGTCACAACTACCTCTATGACTTGATAGAAGAGCTTAAGGATTTCATTGCATCCAGGATCAAGATCAATGAAGCATCCTTTGACCCCTCAAACCCTAGGGACTACATCGACTGCTTTCTCATCAAGATGCACCAGGTACTTTTCCCTTACACCATTCTTTCTGTCTTCTGAAACCTTCATTCCAGCCATGTCAAATCCATCTTGCAACTGTTAGAAGAAAAGAGAAAAAGCATTATCTCATATAGTTTATTTCAATCTCTAGATAAAAATGTGGAAACGTTAGAAATGTAGACCATGTGCATCTTTCAAATAAACTCCCTTACAATTAATGAAATGAGATTTTTATTTTTTGCATGAAATATGTAGTCATATTCTCTAGAGCCGTGGTTCTCAACTTTCCTAATACTGTGATCCTTTAATATAGTTCCTCATGTTGTAGTGACCCCAACCATAAAATTGGTGCTACTTCATAACTAATTTTGCTACTGTTATGAGTGGTAAGGTAAATATCTAATATGTGACACCTGTGGGGGATCATGACACACAGAGGAATAGAACTTACAGTGTGTGTGTGTGTGTGTGTGTGTGTGTGTGTGTGTGTGTGTGTGTGTGTGTGTGTGGTTAGAATTCATTAGAATGGCTTACAGGCTGTGGTTCAGCTAGTCAACAATGTTGGTCTGCCAATAAAATGTCCAAGAATCCAGTAGTTGTTCAGTCCATGAGGCTGGATGTTTCAGCTGGTCTTCAATATCTGCAAGAATCCTGAAGAAGTCTGCTCTGATGCCAGTGAAGAATGGACTTGCCAGTGAGGATGAGAGCAAACAGACAAAGAGAGCCAGGTTCCTTCTTCCATGTCCTTTACATAGGCTGCCAGCAGATTAAAAGTGGATCTTCCCACATCAAAGACCCAGATGAAGTAGGTCTTCCCACTTAAAGTTGATAACCAAGAATAGCCATCACATATAAACTGCATGTTAGTGGGCTTTTGTGTGATACTTCCTTATAAGCATACAGCATACACTGGTCAAAACCAACACCCTTCATCTTTGTGAGTATAGCCTACTTTCAAGTAAACATTTCCTAGCTTTCTTCTATGATAGAGAACATGCAGTAATTGCCTCTGTGCCTGGCTTGTTTCCAGTAAACTAAACTCCCCCAGTTCTATCCATTTTGCTACAAAGGATAATTTCCTTGTTCTTCATGACACCATGTATATATACCATATTTTTTCTAAAATATACTTCAGATCTACAAAGTTTAGCATAAAGAAACTTAAAATCTTACAGTTTTAAGACCATCTATACAACAGACTATATTTTTGAAAATCAGAATGTACCTTTAGAGTCTCAGAATTGAGAACCTTGGATGCCTACTCTCTAAATTTGAGTTTAAACTTCAAAATCACAAGTTTAAAGTCTTTGAGAGGTAGGGACCATTATGTAGCCTGCATGCCTGTGTGTTGACCATTAGAATTCTAGGAAAATCATTATGTAACCTGAGTATTTGGCAGTTGAAAGCTGTGTGCTCTGATGCCCCCCAAACTTTCAAATTGTGCAAGATTCTGCTTCCTTTTCTTGCCCACTACATGCACACTGGCCTTCTCTTGATGTTCCTCTAAAACACCAGACATGCCCCCGACTCAATATATTAGCTTGTGTTGTTTCTCCTGGACTTACTTAACCCATCTGTCCTCCTTTCACAAAGGCGCCTCCTCTACACAGAGGAAAGGGGAAGGTAAGGGCTCGAGGGGGTGATTCTGTTGGCAATCCCCTTTGCTTTCAGGATAAAAGTGACCCCAACACAGAATTCAACCTCAAGAACTTGGTCCTCACCACCCTCAACCTCTTCTTTGCTGGCACAGAAACTGTGAGTTCCACCTTGCGCTACGGATTCTTGCTGCTGACAAAGTATCCCGAGGTGGAGGGTGAGTTTCACTCTGAGCAACTCATCTGTACCTCCCAGGCCTCCTTGGAAGGATTGAAATCTTGAAACTGTACATTCCCACAGCCTTGGCCTCTCTTCCCTTGATGACCTCAGAACATGGGGCCTTCACCTCTCTGATTGCCCCTGTCTTTGTTCTCTGTACCTGTTGAGACTTGGTAACCTGTATTTATCATCTGACCCTCCTGGTCAGGACTTCTGCTTAGAGTGGCTTCCGTTAGACTGATGTCAAGGAAGTCAGTGACTTTCTCTCTGACTTTCCAGTTCCCAGAGAGCCCTTCTTGAGTTCCTGGGCTCAAGCTTGTTTCCTGCATCTGCAAAGCCTGAGCAGAGCACAGGCATCTCTTTGCTTCTGTTAACACACCTCCTCCCCTAACTCACCTAAGATTCAGACACATGACTACTCATGGCCAATATGCATAATCTGCTAATCTCTTCATTTCACAGAAACTTAGTCAGACCTGCCAAGTTTCCTCTGACCTTATATCATCCTTATGTACATAACATTGATGTCAAGGATTTAAAGGTGGACCTCTTCCCTTCCCCTTTCTCTTAAAGATAGGATCTCACTATATAGTCCAGGCTAACCTTGGTCTAATGACCACTCTTCTTCAGTCTTCTGGGACATTGGGATGACACATGTGCCATCAAACCCAGGCAAGGCTATGTGAGGGCTATTGCTCAGCTGACTACACTGTCCATATCAATCAGAATTCATGTCTAATAAACTAGAATTTGATTTGGTTGGGGAACTCCAGTATTCAAAAGACATTTCTTGCTGAAGAAACTCTCTAATTTGGTCTTTCTCTACACTAATCAAGTCAAAAACAAGCCTTTGGTTGAGTAAAAACGACACCTGTATATAATAGTGCAGCTGGACCCAGCATGCTGTCCTGATCATTATCCTCTCATGGTTTCTTGGTATTTTTAAGTAAAGATCAAATTCCCATTTGTCATTCAAGGATCTAGGCTGTGTACCTCCTGATGTCTGACCAGTGTTCAAGAACTGGTACCATCAAGTACCAGTGATGTCTGTTGTTAAATATGGTGAAGCAATCCAAACACACGTTATTCTCCCTTAAGGCTCACTGTTTTTTCTGGATCTAGAAACAAAATCTTCATCTCAAGATCCTTGACTTAACGACATCCACAAAACCCAGAACATGACTTGCCCTCGCCTCTCTACGCAGACATTCCCTGGCCAGACATGTGACTCATACCTGTAATCCAGCACATATAAGACTGAGTAGGAAGAGAGAGCATTTGAGACCTATACAATCTATATAGCTAGTCCCTGTCCAACGTGAGCTACCTAGTAAGGCCCCATTGACAATCACATGTTCCCCCCAAACCACAAATAAAAACAAAGACCAAACAATGAATACAATGTCAGCTTTTCTTCTCACCTTTCCTGATATATTTTCTTTCATCGTACAGCCAAGGTTTACGAGGAAATTAAACAGGTGATTGGAACACACCGTATTCCAACAGTGGATGACCGGGCCAAGATGCCCTACACTGATGCTGTCATCCATGAGATACAGAGAATAACAGACATTGTACCCCTGGGTGTCCCCCATAATGTCATACGGGACACTCATTTCCGAGGCTACTTTCTGCCCAAGGTGAGGTTGTTGTCCTATCACCTTTCCTGACCTCTCCCTCTTCCTGTTTTTGTACCCCCACCCCCTTTGCCCAACACAGAATTCTAATGGCCTCTGTCTGAATCCCAGGGCACAGACGTGTATCCCCTGATTGGCTCAGTCCTCAAAGATCCCAAATACTTCCGCTATCCAGATGCTTTTTATCCTCAGCACTTTCTGGATGAACAGGGGCGCTTCAAGAAGAACGATGCCTTTGTAGTCTTTTCCTCTGGTAGGTAATTATGCCTAGATTTCCCAAGATAAATACTAGAGTGGTCTCTCTAGGGTCTGTGTTATAGAGTTATAAAAATACTAAAATCCCAGATCAGGTAATATTGGAACCATTCACTTGAATGATTGTGGGCATGTGGGCATGGTGGTGCAATGTATGCAATCTCAATATTCAAAAGGCAGCAGCAGTAATAAGATTTCAAGCAGAAGGTCAGACTGGGCTCACAGTGAGATCCTGACTTTAAAACCATTGGAAATAATGAGAAAAAATTAAAATGTTAGAGCAGCAATAGCAGTGAACACACATTTAGTAAACTTAACCATATTATGTTAAGAATCACATTAAAAATATTTCATGTTTCGTCAGCCATATGATCCTTGTCTAAACCAGGTGTATCTGCCATGTACTGTGGACACATGTAACCACTGATAACACCTGACTGAATGGTCATGTATGTGTGAAAATGTGAGCATTCTTATTCAAGAGCACTGAAACATGAAACTTGTTTAACTGACACAAAATACTCTTTTCTCTGAACATTGTCAAACATTCTAAAAGAGGGAAAGCATTCATACTCTCCGCACATACAGACATAAAACAGCACCATAGCTTGGCCTCACAGACAGAAGTGTGTTGGCCAGTGAGTGGCCTTGGCATCATGTAATTTTAAATGGCAGTCATGGGACATCTGGAGCCTTGGGTGAATTATTGCAATTCTCAACTGTGAAATGGACATTAATCCCTTCCTACTGTTGAAATGGTTCTTGGTGATCAGGAAGATAGCCTTAAATACAATTCTTGTCTTTTTTTTTTTTAATCTCACTAGTATTTGATACCTAAGGCATTTTAAATGCCTTTGAGGAATTGAAATGAACAGATTTTTGAATTTTTTTCCCCCTGATCTGGGGATGGAATTCACATGCTCTGAGCAAATGTTCCACCACTGATTCACACACCCCAGCCTCTCACTGGTGGAATCCAGTCAAAGCTTGGCTATTGAGTCACACCCCAGCCCTCAAGGATCCTTTGGAACCAGTCTATCTGGTTCTAACTCAGGCAGAATCCCAGTGGGCGGGCAGACAAGAAGTTCCCACCTGTCTGGTCCCTCTAGGTGGCAGCTAGTAGTTGGGCAGTAGCAGTGGGACCCTAGAAAGTCTTGATAATGCCCCCACATTGTGGATACAGCTGTGAGCAGAGATGCTGATTGAGACTGCCACACATCTCTCCATCCCTTCTGTGTCTACAGGAAAGCGCATCTGCATCGGGGAGGCCCTGGCCCGCATGGAACTCTTCCTCTACTTCACTTCCATCCTTCAGAGGTTCTCCTTACGTTCTCTGGTGCCTCCTGCTGATATCAACATCACTCACAGGATCTCAGGCTTTGGCAACATCCCCCCCACTTATAAGCTCTGCTTCATGGCCCGCTGAGTACCTGCCCACTGCCAGGCCAACAAAGAGTCCTCTGAGAGTTGAGCTCTGATAGAATTCACTGATGCCCACTCTCCCTTTCTTCCTCAACCCTCCCTACACTTAGAGAAATCAGTCTCATTTCTGTGCCTGAGGCCACGGGTCAGGAGAGGTGTCTAGAAATACATGGCTGGATGTGTAAAGCAGGTCTCTAGCCACAATTTGGGGCAAAGCCTGAAGGTCAAATTAAATTCACTGAGTTTCTCAACCTTGGTCTCAGTCTGCACCACACTCTTACAGATGCTTTGCCCTTATACAGCCCTTTGCCTTTGCCCCGACAGTGGCCAGAATATACTCTGTACTCTGTCCTGTTTGCCTTTATTTCTCCTCCCCAATAAAGAACTCAAGACTATTGGCCATAACAAGTTTACTGAGTATCACGTTGACAGTTCTCTTGTTGCAGGAAATAACCAAGGGATGAGACAGGCAAGATGAGAGCCTGGAAGCCGTTTACTGTACACAGAACAGGCCCAGGGGACATCAATCCAAAAACTGACGCCCGAATTCAGTTAAACAGAGCCTTTTGTGCCCCCTGCTTAGCAACCCAGAGTGACATACACTTTGGTTGGCTGTATGAAACTTGCCTAACATAATATATTAAAACGGCCCCCCAAAACAGAAGTCTATCATGGGCAGATTTTTTTCAATGCAGAAGGGTGGGGAGAGCAGGTTAGTTACAGAGGAGACACAGTGAGCTCCCACAGGGTGCCGACCTGGTCTTATCTTGCTTTAGCTTCCGAGAGGGTCTTCTACCTCAAGGTGAAGTGTAGACCAGAAGTTGAATTGGGTTTTCTGCCTACTTGTTACTGATAGCAATTCTCTATGCCACCAACTGATTCCCAGCTGGTTTGGTCACCCCGTATGGCATCAAGCGCGTTGTTGGCTCAGTGTTTCTCCTCACAATCGTCTCTCCTGCTAAACTTGCTCTCCTGGTGGCTCTTATCTCAAATTCCAATTCTACACACCCTGCATTCTGTTTTGAGTATACCTCAGTTATTCACAGCTGTTGTGATCCTGTCTCCACAGTTCTATCAGCTTGTTCGATGTCAATAAACTCTCCCTCATATTTCACTTAGTCAATAATTATCAAATGTGCAGTGTGTGCTAGTAACCCTGAGGCAAACAAAACAAACAAACACTCTCCATGGAGGCGGAATGCTTTGCAGTGGAAATTGCTACACATTGCCATGCCTCACTCTGACTGGGAATTTTTAAATAGCTGTGATCATGTTATGAGCTGTAAAAGAAGGTTGGGGAACACATAAGAGCTGAAGACTAGTGTTAGTGGAAAGTTAAGTGCCACAAGAGGATTTTAAAGATGCTTGAAATCAAAACACAACAAAAATTAGTATTTTTTGTTGTATTCGAAACTAGATAGGCCTTATCTGAACAACAACAAAAATTAATGAAGTATAGGATATATATCCAGAGAACTCACCACACTGAAATACAAACTAAAAGAACAAACATGTATTTTAAGATATTTTTATTTATTCAATAATTTCATACACATTGAACTGGTGGGTTTTGTGTGTCAACTTGACACAAGCTAGAGTCATCAGAGAGGAAGGAGCCTCAGCTGAGGAAATGCCTCCATTAGATCCAGCTGTAACACATTTTCTCAATTAGTGATCAATGGGGGAAACACCTCCCCACGTCCCACCCCCCACCCCCACTGCCCATTGTGGGTGGGGCCATTCCTGGGCTGCTGGTCCTGGATTCTCTAAAAAGGCAGGCTGAGCAAGCCATGGGGAGCAAGCCTGTAAGCAGCACCCCTCCATGGCCTCTGCATCAGCTCCTGCCTCCAGGTTCCTGCCCTATTTGAGTTCCTGTCCTGACATCCTTCAATGATGAAGAGTGATATGGAAGGATAAGCTGAATAAACCCTCTCCTTCTCGAGTTGCTTTTTGTCCTAGTGTTTCATCACAGCAATAGTAACCCTAAGACACACATATAGAATTGCTTTAATGATATGGACCTCCATTCTTCTCAATTATCTCCCTCCCACTCTCTACAGAACACTTTATCTTCCCAATACCCTTCTAGATGCCCCCTTTCTCCTGCCTTTAAAAAAAATAGCTAGGGTGACTGTAGATGTATCCAACCTTCTTATTAAATAATAAACACAGAACCAATGCAAAGAAGAAAGCCAAGAGGTCAGAGCTAAGAGCTAAAACCTTACCCTTCCTCCTGCGGTGGTCCTACCTCTCCGAACCAGAGCTACCCCTGTGTTAAAGTCTTTATATAGAGTTCCTGTCCTGCCTTCTCATTGGTTGTAAACCCAACCATATGACCGCCTCCTCACAGCCTGTCTGTATAGGCCTCCAGGTTTTCCATGATTGGTATTAAGATTAAAAGCATGTGTATCCAATAATGGCTGTATCCCTGAACACACAGAGACTTACCCAGCTCTGCCTACCAAGTGCTGGAATTACAAGCGTACGCTACCACTGCCCTGCTTTCCTATGGCTTGCTAATAGCTCTGACCCCCGGGCAACTTTATTTATTAACATACAAATAATATTTTAATACAAATAAAATATCACCATATTTCCCCTTTTCTATTTTAATAAAAAGGAAAAAAAAAGAAAAAGCTTATAACTAATATAAGAAAAACTATATACAAAAGTACAATAACTATATACAATATATACAAGTAATAAATACCTAAACAATGTCTAGTCCATTTGTATTTGACAAATTCAGAGAAAATAATTTCATTATCTATCCTATTTTGGTAAGTCCAAAATGTATCCTAATTAATCTTCAACTATAACTAACTAACCTTCAACTATAACTAACTAACCTTCAACTATAACTAACTAATCTTCAACTCCCTCAGAGACCCAAGAAGGAAATAATATTAGCAAACAAAAATAAAAACAGGAAGTGCATGCAAGCAACTTCCAAAAAATTTGTGAGTTGACAGAAACAGCCAGCTGTCTGGACAGTCACCTGAGGTTTCTCCGCAGTGCTGGGGCATCATCTTCAGCCTATAGGCTTAGCATATCTGACAGACTCATTTGTGAAGTAGGATGTACACAAGGTCAACAGTTCAACCTCACATTGGGTGAGAGTAGTCCATGTACCAGAAACACCTGAATTCCACTAGTGTCATGTCATGATTCAGGATTTTAAATTCTGGAAATTGTTGATGGTTTTTTAATTCAGCTGTCCATTCTTCTTGGCTGTGTATATATGGCTTCATCTCAGCATCCCATTCTTCTCCATATCCCTCTATCAAATGCCAGACTACTATTGAGAGGCGTGAGCTTACTCTTCAAGAATAACTGTTTCAGCTGCTGTTCCATTGCACATCAGAGGCCATCGGCCCACTGCCTGTTCAGCTGCCTTCGAAGAAAAGGGCACTGTACCTTTTCCGAATTGCGAAGGCCACTTCAGGGATGATGCCATATTGTCCTGCCCTCTGAAGATGCCTTTTGATAAAGCCATAACCACACTTGTTTTGGCAAGAATCAGTAATCCTTTGTTTTATGTCCTGTCTGTCCATTTTGTCCTGTTGATTCGAGGATACTTTGTTGTCCAGTGGCTAACTTTTGCCACAATGAAAGTTAACTCCATATGCAGTTTCTTCAATGCCCATATTTTCTCTGAAGTAGATTGGTACTGCCAGGAGCCGACATGTCTCATAGTCATAACAAAAAAGAAAAATTTTCTAAGTTATTAAAACATGTTTTTTTATTAAAACATTTTAAATGCCATATTCTGTAGATCTCTGAAGGGTTTGAAGATAACCTGTCTATCTAAAATACATCTACTCAATCTTGAAAACATACCTAATATAACTACAAGTTCTATTATAATATCTAACTACTAACTTTCATTTCTTTATATCCTAATAGTTGGTAATAACATTCAAGGATCAGAAAATTGCATTACATTGTTAGATGAACGGTACAATTAGAAAAATATATATAGGCCGGGCGGTGGTGGCGCACGCCTTTAATCCCAGCACTCGGGAGGCAGAGGCAGGCGGATCTCTGTGAGTTCGAGGCCAGCCTGGTCTACAGAGCGAGATCCAGGAAAGGCGCAAAGCTACACAGAGAAACCCTGTCTCGAAAAACCAAAAAAAAAAAAAAAAAGAAAAAAAAAAAAAGAAAAATATATATAACATTTTCTAACAATATCAATTTCAATATATATAATTTGTATACAATATAAAACAATCCAATCCAATGTAAAGTATTTACATTTTTCTTTTCTTTCTTTCTTTTTTTTTTAATAAGAACCTTAAATCTAATCTCCTTTGCTTAGCCTTTTTCCTAACCCTTGACAACAACTTGTCACCAACCCCCCTAATCAATGAAAATTATCCCAGACCCAAAACCCATTAAAAGACCAAAAAAACCAACCGCCCCACACCACCTCTTTGGGAATGTGGGCGTCGTATTCTTGAAATTGCTTCCTACTGGGTATGGGCGAAGGTATCTTTATCCTGAAAGAAAAATTTTAGGTTAATTGTCAAATTCTAGGAAAGGTAAATATATCCTTCGTTATCCAGTCTGTGTATAATGCCAAAATTCAGGGTTTATCTCAAATCCTTATTCAAGTAGTCTTTGAGACTGGATCATCTCAGCTAGCTCTTCTCAAAATTGCTCTGAGCACTTTGTAGTTCAAAGCTGATCTGTAGATGATGTTTGTCAGCTTAGTGATGTTATTATTGTCCATGTGGAATTGTTGTTGTTGTGGGGCCCCATCTTCTTCCTGGAGACTTCAGTTGATGTTAGGCCTAACCGTGATTTCCTGCAAAAAACTGATAAGAGACTCGAACACAAAGACTATATATGCGACTTTTTAGAATTAATTAGTACTCTATATGACCATTTATATCTTAACAAAGTTTAAAATGTATATATATCTATATATATTGATCTTGTAAATTTTGATATAAAATTCATACTTTAAGAAAAGTTTAAAGAATCAGAATAGAATCAAAGAGTTGAGATTCGTAATAGAATAGTCCCTTAATTAATTTGGCTTTTCTCCTGTCCCATAGC